TGAAAAACACAGTGGCTGTGGGGGAGGAAAAGCTTTGTCAGAAAGAGAAGATAACCTGCAATGTGGAAATCTGCTATAACTTACTACGTCCTCTCCATTTCTGTCTCAGGTAGGTAAAGATGCACGATGTCAGGTGAGCAGAATTTGTCACAATCTGCAGCAGAGCTGGATATGTTATCTCAGTTTATTGTTCTTGTACAGGAGAACTAACTGCTGTATTTCTTCAGAAAATTCTGCTTGATTTCTGCTACTTCAGAATATGAGTTCCTGCAAGCACTGAACAAAAAAGTGATCAAGCACATTTATCTAAGCAAGAGATCTACCTGAGGGACCAAGAAGTGTTTATACCAAAAATTGGAATTATACAACAGCTGCAAGGAAGGAAAAATTCTCAGTTACACCTGTTCCATTGCTCCACAAGCCCTGGCAGATATAGTTCTAACATGTTCCACCTAATCTACAGCAAAACACATGGCCTCTCCATAAATCTATGTCAACACAGCAAATCAGGCTGCATCTGCAGGGGAAATTATAACAAATGTTATATGTCCAAAATAATTGTCTGTATGGGAAAGATGATGCACTCAAGTGATTTCCAAATAAGATAAATACTGTCCAGATGGTATTTCAGTAAAAAAAACCACTTCTCTTTCTGCACAGAGGCAGAGGGCTCAAAAGAATCAAAGTTTTAAATTGAGAGCTGGCAGGTGCAAGCCTTAGCACAATTCCCTACATACAGAATCACACATATGGCTATTTTTAGAGCATGAGAAATTGTGGCTTTGCATATCCTTTTTGAAAAGAAACCCCAAACCACAACATTTCCAAATGTAGCACTGTGTTAAGGAATTAATCAAAGAGGGGCAAGCATAAAAAGGCTAATACAGGTATCACATGTCACGTTAGAATCTAAATGCTGTGCTTTGGCCATCTTAAATGAACCATCTTGTTCTTCCTCAAGGTACATTTTACATACAGTAAAACAAACAGTTTTGCAGTTTAGAAAGACATTAAATATTGTGGCCCCACCCCTCAAATGTAGGTGTAGAAAATGGTGGAATTGACACACTTTATCTTTTTGTTCCCAAAAGCAAATTCCTGCTGTGGCTTTGGAGAAATAGGACTTTGTCCTAAGTCTATGATGATTTATTTAGATTTGAAGCTTGTAAATGTCAGTATGTTTACTCTGTGCTCCTGGAAAAACCACAACAACTCTTCTCCCTTCAGGTATTTTGCTGTTTATGGAATATCAAGCGATTAACATGTCCTAAGTGTAATCCAGGAAGGGCATGGCAACCAAAACTAAACTAAAACTGAACCATGGGCAGCCCCAGGTGATGCTGGTCAGGTCCATTAAGGTGGGCAGCAACAGAACTCATCTCCCAGAAGGACTTAGCAAAGGCAAGCCTTTCCCTTGATCTATACTGATAAAGGACATCTGGTGGGATCAGGTAAGTAAATGTATTAACACAAGTGAAATTATTAGATCAATCAAAATAAGTTCATTGCCTAAATTAAGAATTTCTTCATAAAAGTTCTACTCTCACCATGTTACACTTGCATATGGTAAGACAGTTACTATACATACACATTCTACAATATGATATTTCTTTATTTATCCCTCACGTTTGCCCAGTGCTAGTCAGGGATAAAATCCCAGTCTGAGCTGTGTCCATAGAAAGATAATCATTCAGGCAGAAATAATGAGAGAAAAAAAAATCCCTCGTTATAGATCTGACCTCTCATGTACTTCAGAAGCTAATTGCAATCAATGTCTTCAGCTACACACAATTTACTACAACATGATATGTCTGGCCCGTGAAGCAAGTAAATCTGATCCCTGGCACTGGCATTACTCTTCACACACTGCTTTAAGTGACAGTATCAGATTCCCCACAGGTCAGGCCTCTGTGATTTCATACAGAATTACATTTAAACTTACAGAAAGGGCATTTACTGCCAGCAAAACTTCCAACAAGCCACAGAATGCAGCAGTTTCTGCAGAATGCAATGCAAAATGAGATTTCTCTTGCAGGGATGAAAAGAGATAAGGAGAAATGCACCGGGGGTGGGTGTTGTTATTGGTTTTGTTTTGTTTGTTTAGTATTTTTGCAGAGATACACAGTTCTGAGAGGCAGGGATCATATCGTGCCCCTATATTTGTGGGAACCTGAATGCCTGAACACATTATGAAGCCTACAGACTCTAAGCAAGGGGTATTCAGTAGGATTTGAGGGGTTTTGAGTTTTTTCTTCCCCAGAGGTTTTCAGCAGAATGTATTATTTTGCTTAAAGTTCATCATAAAATTAAATCACTGGATAACTTTCATGCATAAAAAAATGCAGCTGGGCAATGCTGTATCTACAATTTTATTTATTTTGCATTACAGCACCACATGTACGTCCCAACCTTAGAGAAATAAAGAACAGGTTAGGTCCAGTGCAACATGGACTATGAAATTCTCCTAACAAAACCATTAACTCTGCCATATCCAAACAAAAAATATGTTTGTGGCCCAAATCTTGTGTCAGACACAAGGGTGCTAACAGTTTTAACAGGAAATAAAAAAGAATGGAAAAGAGGCACAAACCTGCCTGGGTTAAAAGATTGGAATGAGACAGGCTGAGAGTTGAATTATGGTAAATTGTTTGGTTTCAAAGATCCCCAGATAAAGGCTAGGCAGGTGGTTTGGGAGGGCTCCCCCCAGGTGAGGGGGTCGGGGGGATTTAGGGACTCCCACAGGTGAGGGGTCAGAGGGATTTGTGTCGTAATCTGTGGTATTGATGATTCTGAGATTGTAGAAAGTCTCTGTCTGTCAGCCCCGCTGCCAAAGCAGAAGCCATAATTGGTCTGTGCTGGTTTCAAGGTTGTTTATTCTGTTTATCTCTAACATGTTCTGCTGCCCTGCCGCAGCTCTGTCCTGCAGGGCAGCGTGTGGGGCTCTGCCCTCAGTGGGATGTTACAAACATTAAATACCAGAAACTACCTGTGCTGGATTTACAATAACGTGCCAATATCTGTCACCTACGTTGGACAGTGTGTCCCCAGCCTAAACCAATAGAAAAATGCCAACACCACAGTGAAACATGGAGGGCATGAAGAAGGAGAAAAAGGACAAGGCACATACAATTTCTTCTATCTTGTCCTCTTTGGACCCCTTATCTAGAATCCTAAAATTTTACTTTTGCACCTGTGCCACACTTAATTATTACTTATATCAAACACTCAGAGCTTGTAATTTATCCTGTAAGATTGAAAACTCTTTTCCATGGACAGAGATCACAGACAGTGTCTCTGGGGGCTCTGTCCAGGGGGGTTCCTGACCCCTGCCAGGGTCCCAGACCTTCCAGGGCAGCCAGAGGGAAGCTCTGGATTCCCACAGATTTGGTTTCCCCCAGGTGAGGGGTCGGGGTGATTTGGGGTTCCCCTGGATGAGAACTCGGGGGGATTTGGGGGCTCCCAGGTGATGGGTCGGGGGGATTTGGGGTTCCCCCTGGATGAGGGGTCGGGGTGATTTGGGGTTCCCCTGGATGAGGACTCGGGGGGATTTGGGGTTCCCCTGGATGAGGACTCGGGGGGATTTGGGGTTCCCCCTGGATGAGGACTCGGGGGGATTTGGGGTTCCCCCTAGATGAGGACTCGGGGTGATTTGGGGTTCCCTGGATGAGGACTCGGGGGGATTTGGGGTTCCCCTGGATGAGGACTCGGGGGGATTTGGGGTTCCCCTGGATGAAGATTTGGGGGGATTTGGGGTTCCCCTGGATGAGGACTCGGACTCGGGGGGATTTGGGGTTCCCCTGGATGAGGACTCGGGGGGATTTGGGGGCTCCCAGGTGAGGGGTCGGGGTGATTCGGGGTTCCCCCTGGATGAGGACTCGGGGGGATTTGGGGTTCCCCTGGATGAGGACTCGGGAGGATTTGGGGGCTCCCAGTTGATGGGTCGGGGTGATTTGGGGTTCCCCTGGTGAGGACTCGGGAGGATTTGGGGTTCCCCTGGATGGGGACTCGGGGGGATTTGGGTTCCCCTGGATGAGGACTCGGGGTGATTTGGGGTTCCCCTTGGATGAGAACTCGGGGTGATTCGGGGTTCCCCTGGATGAGAACTCGGGGGGATTTGGGGGCTCCCAGCTGAGGGGTTAGGGTGATTTGGGGTTCCCCTAGATGAGGACTCGAGGTGATTCGGGATTCCCCTGGATGAGGACTCGGCGGGATTTGGGGTTTCCCCTGGATGAGGACTCGGGGGGATAACTCGGGGGGATTTGGGGTTCCCCTGGATGAGGACTCGGGGGGATTTGGGGTTCCCCTGGATGAGGACTCGGGGGAATTTGGGGTTCCCCTGGACGAGGACTCGGGGGGATTCGGGGTTCCCCTGGATGAGGACTCGGGGGGATTTGGGGTTCCCCTGGATGAGGACTCGGGGTGATTTGGGGTGCCCCTGGATGAGGACTCGGGGGGATTTGGGGTTCCCCTGGATGAGGGGTCGGGGTGATTTGGGGTTCCCCCTGGATGAGGACTCGGGGGGATTTGGGGTTCCCCTGGATGAGGACTCGGGGGGATTTGGGGTTCCCCTGGACGAGGACTCGGGGGGATTCGGGGTTCCCCTGGATGAGGACTCGGGGGGATTTGGGGTTCCCCTGGATGAGGACTCGGGGTGATTTGGGGTGCCCCTGGATGAGGACTCGGGGGGATTTGGGGTTCCCCTGGATGAGGACTCGGGGGGATTTGGGGTTCCCCTGGATGAGAACTCGGGGTGATGACTCGGGAGAATTTGGGGTTCCCCTGGATGAGGACTCGGGGGGATTTGGGGTTCCCTGGATGAGGACTCGGGGGGATTTGGGATTCCCCTGGATGAGGACTCGGGGGGATTTGGGGTTCCCCTGGATGAGGACTCGGCGGGATTTGGGGTGCCCATCCGGAGCATCCCCGGGCTCTCCCCGCCCTTGCCGCTGTCCGCGCCCGTGGTGCTGAACGGCGCACCCGGCCCGGGCCGCTCTCGTTTCCTCCGGGATTAAAACCGCGTTAATCGGGGCCGGATTAACTCCCTGGAAACCGGCTGCGATCGGAGCAGCTGCGAATGGCGAATATCCCCCCCAAACCGGGATATGCGGCGGGGTGCTGAGGGGGGAAAGACATCACCCGGCCAGATGCCACGCCGCGATTAAACGGGAAGGAAAAGAAATAATCAAGGATCTCATCCGCTGCTTTTGGGAAGGGCTGGGCTGGCTGGGATCCGGCAGCCCCTCCTCTTCCTCCTCCCTCCTCCTCTTCCTCTGGCTCGCTGCTGGCCAGCCGCTGTTCCTCGGAGGAGCCCCGCCGGCCGCCAGCGATGGGCGACATCCCCGGGCTGGTGCGGATCAGCGTCTCCCTCAGGATCCAGCCCAACGACGGCGCCGTGTACTTCAAGGTGGACGGGCAGCGCTTCGGCCAGAACCGCACCATCAAGCTGCTGACCGGGGCCAAGTACAAAATCGAGGTGTCCCTCCGACCCGGCACTGTCCAAGCCACGTAAGTGCTGCCTTCCTCCTCCTCCTCCTCCTCCTCCTCTTTATTTTTAGATGTTTAATGTTTTTTCCTGGCAGGCTGACAGCGGTGAGGTTGCTGTGATTTCTCCCTCGCCGCCTTTCCCCATCGGTGGCCCGGTTTTTGCCAGCTGTTCCCTGTGCCAGGGTTGGGAATTGCTGCCTTCCCTCTCCTCCCCGCCTTCTCCCGGAGATTTTTCAAGCCCAGCTGCTTTTCTCCCTCCTTTTTGCTGGAGGAAGAAGCTCCTCCTACACAATGCCCGAGCCTGGCAAAGCAGGGACAGAGATGGGGAACCAGCTCTGGGTGGAAATTAAATCTCTCCCCACCGAAGAGATTCCACTGACCTCTCCCTATCCATTCGAAATCAGATCCTGCCTTCCTCTCCTTTCTGCTCCTTCCCTGGGTGACTGCAGAGCCCTGGCATATCTCAGCAGCCCCAGTGAGTCAGCAGCACATGCAGGTCTGCTAAAATCCCTGAAGCTTTTCCCAGCACAACCCACGTGCTGGCTCCAAATTGGCAAAAAAGGGAGAATTCGGGGCTCTGAAAGGCTGGATCCTGTCTTTTTGTAGGACCATGGGCATCGGCGGCGTCAATGTCCCGCTGGAGGAAAAATCACGGGATGCACAAGTGGCCTCTTACACGGGGATCTACGACACAGAAGGGGTGCCCCACACCAAAAGTGGGGAGAGACAGCCCATCCAAGTCAACATGCAGGTACGTGGTTCTCCAAGCTGCCATGAGAGGACGAGCGAGGGCAGCAGGGGGTTGATTCCCAGGGAGATTGTGGCGAAATATTCCAGGGCAAAGTCTGGTGGCAGCTGCTGCCTTCTTCTTTGCTTTGTGTCCCTAAGGTCGCTGGCCAGAACATAGCTGGAAAATACAAATCCTGCTGCCTTCTCTCCCAGGAATACAGCAAAGGCCAGGAGGAAGTGGAAGGTTTTCTAAAAACCTGCAAAACCCTTCGGGGTGCTGCAGCAGAAAGAATTGTGAGCTGAACATCTCACCCCTTCTATAGGACATACTATACATATCAGGCAGCTCCCACCGAGGTTTTTGGCTAGAAATCCAATCCCTTGGCATACAGGGACCCTCTTTTGCCTGGCAGCACCATTTTTTTTTTGGCACAGAGCATGCCCCAGACACAAGAGACTGCTCTTCCCTTCCATCTGTCACCTCTAGCATGCCTGAGGACTTGCCAGAGACTAGAAGCATGCATGAGAACAACACCTAAGGCTGTCTTCTCTTTTTCCCATATGTTTCCATTATCTGCACCCACAAACCAAAGTTGATATTTAAGTGGCTCCTCACCCCAGCCTTAAGGAGAAGTTCCATGGCTCCAAAGTGAGATGACAAAAGCTCCAGCCCACAAGGCAGCAGAGCTGACAGAAGACATGGAGAGCAGCAGGCAGATTCCCACAGCACTCTTTGGGTGGTATGCTCAGTTTTGGCAGTTTTTTTTATTTTCTTCTCCTGATTATAGCTGTGAGGGATTCCTGCTGTTTATTCCATGTCTTCTGTACCAAAAAAAAAGAAATCAAGGCAGTAAGCCATCTTCATCTGAAGCTCTCTTAAGAGTCTGTTCCAGTTTATACAAGCCCACCAGATTTCAGAATTTTATAACATTTGCTTACTGCACACAGGATTTCATATTGCTCTTCAGTATTTTTTTCTGGAATCACAGTTCAGCATAGTAATCCCCTTCTGAATAAGAACTGTGACATCTCCATTTGGTATTTCTAATAATTACAGTGTCCCTAACTTAATTTTGGAGACTATATCACATTACTATTTCATCATCTTAAGTTATTAAGACTAATATGGAGTTCTACATTCATCACTTTTATATACGGCCAGCTCCTTTTAACACCCAGGAAAACAAAGCACAGTATTTTTTCACAACAATCTGAACATAGCTGCTGGATGCCACTGTTGATCACTGTAGTTATATTTCACCTTGCACCAGGAGAAGAAAAGACAGCATTCCCAAAAGAACATCTGCTTTGACTAAGGTATCCCTGTTTTGCTGGTTACCTTTACCCTTAAGTGAGGCACTGCTGTGAACTCTGGAAATCTAGAAGTTTAACTTTTCCTTTGGAGAAAACCAAGTCAAATCACAGGTGAAATGTAAGGATTTCTTACATTTCCTACAAGCTCTGACATGGTTTGTTGCGGCATCAGAATGAGTAGCCACAATATTTGCCCAAAGAGCTGCTTTTACAGATCAGATCCTGGGATATTAACCATGAAGCTAATAGGATTTTCAAGCATTAAACAGGTCCATAATTCCTTTTAGGAACTGATCTTGATAGATAGGTTCATAGATAGATACCCACAAACGATATTTTAAGTATTAAATATAAGCAACTCAACAGGGATTTCCATGTTTAACTCATGATCTAGCTGCTTAGCTAAGCAGAGCTGTAACAGATTTAGGGAACAAACCTCAGATACCCCAGTCTGAAAACTGCTTTGGATACCTACTTCCTGAATCATAAAAACTGAGCTTATTGCAAACAACTTTAAATTTTCCTGTTTCCTTCAGCTATGAGGAACTTCTGCCTCCACTTCCTTTTCTAGAACAGACAGAATCCCAGTGCATCCTATGGTGATAAGGACGATATTTTAGGCATAAAAACTGAATTCACATTAGAAGTAGATTGTGAGATCAGTCAAAAACAAGTCTGATACTGCCAATCTAGTGTCTGAATGACTTCAGGTACATTAAGATCCATAAGAACTTCTTTCCTATCTGCTTTGAAAGTTTAAATAAATAATTCTTTTTGTGTTGCAGCTTTAACTGGCTATTAGAGATCTGTCCCATGACAGCCAGAGTTTATACATGTTAAACAGCAATCCTGTTTCTGAATTCCAGAATCTGATTATGTGTTTCTGTTACCTGATTTGTCAATCATGCACACAATCCAGAAACTGCTGAGCTGTCTGGCAAATGGTATAAACTAAGTTAGAAGCCTGCCTTTGGGCCTCATTTTATTCTTGATCACACCAGTCTAAGATTGAAAAAATAAGCTAGAACTGCATTCACAGTAATAACTATAAAATCATCTCAGCATGCAAATGTAGAGGGAGTGATTAAATAACTCTTTACTCCTACAGCACCAGATGATAGAGAAGAGCAGACAGGGAAATGCACTTAACCTGAAGCCTGACCTGCAGAGAGCAGGGCTGTTCTTCCTCCCTGGGGATGCCCATCTATAAACTCAGTGGAGTAGCCAGGGTTGGATTGCAGGAGCCACCAGGGGAGCTCTGAGGATGCAGAATGTTCATTATGCCACAGAGCTTCTGCTCGTGCTAAGTACTGGGCTAGGGGAGGCACATGGTACTAGAAAAGCTCTGCAATTAATTTTTTCCTTCTCCTGGAAATCCACAGCAGTCAAACTATTCAGGGTAGCTCAGCAAACTGGGTCATTGAAGGAAAATTAAATTTGCTTTCTTCATCTGTCTTTTTGGAATTCAGATCCTTCATACATTAATAAATGAAATTATGCTCTTGTGTCATATCACCTTCTACAAATGTTATTAGAAATGCCTTTTCTTCCTGTGTTTCTGCACTGAGGGTGGCTGATTCTCCTCTTTGACAAGTTTTGTGGACTGTGCACAGTAATATACAATGTGCTTAACCTTTACTGTCTTGCATTATAAGTGAAACAGGACTACTGTCAAATACAATTGATTTTTAAAAAGTTCTTAATTAAGGTTTTAGTTGCTGGGAGAGATAAAATAGCCTGTACATTTGATTCTTTCTTAGTCAAAGGAAGTGGCAGAAATGTTTCAGTTACTCCTTCAAGGTAACACTTGTAACTGGAGCCAATAAAACCCCTCCACTTACAGCACACAGCAACTTCTGCTATTGTCAGGGCTAAATTTAACTTACCACAGTGGGCAGAGGGAAGGTTTAAAGTAATGGCTGTTACACAGCAGCACCTTACAAACCACATCTTGAATTTCAAAAAAAATAAAAACAACAACAAATATGTCCTTCTGAAAAAATCTGGATACAGAAGACTCTGCTTGTAAATCAGGAACAATTTCTCTGTAAAAGGGCTTTCGTACTGATTTTGCAAGTGTGATTGTAGCAGGCAGATGATCAAAGATCAGCTCCCAGGCACATGATGGGAATGGAAAACAGTCAAATGAAGAAGCTGTCATTAAAGTGAGTGATGGAAATACTGAAAGGGAAAAAGTACTGAAGAATGGTGCCATTCAGTAGCACTAAATTCACTATTTAGTATCTTCTAACAACATAACACAATCAACAAGCCATACTGGCTTAGGACCAATGGCAATACATATAGGCTTCACACCCACACTTGAAATTCTCTGCAATGTCTCAAGGCATAGGAACTCAAATTTTCCATTACTATTAAAATTGAAATCATAATTTATGCTTGAAAGCTTCACTGAGGTGTTTGTGATGTTGTACAGGTGTCTAGGAGTGGCTTAAAGAAAAAAAAACAAATTTATTTTACAGAACTTTTTTTATTATAGCCACAGAACTTTTATTATAGCCACAGTCTCATTCACTTCAAAGCTGCATGCACAGACAATTTAAAGTCAATTTCTCACTGCTTTGCTGTATTAGACACTTACCTGCTAAACAGGCTGGTTACCTCTTTATTAGCTCTTATTACTCAGCTGCACTATCACAGTCCAACTAGCAGTTCCAGATATGCACACAGAAATTCTCTTGCTCAAGTCTCATTTAAAATGTGGAATAGAATCCCAGAAAAGTCGTAAGTGGTGTGCAAGAGCAGCACATCTCAGCCAATACACTACAAATACAAGTCTCCAAAATGCAGATACATTAAAAGCTTCAGACTGAGGAAAAGAAGAATCTTCCCAATCCCAACTGCAGCCTGTAGGTATAAAGGTAAATACCATTTACCTTTAAAGGTAAATGTTGTGATTACACTTTAAAGGTAAAGTGGGTGGTCTGTATCACTGCACAGCACTGGTACATGATCTACAGTATATAAAAGCTCTGTCATCTTCACAAAGATTATGGCTTTGATTTGTGTTGTCAGTAACATTTATCCATGGGCCAACTTGAATATTTTCCTCTTTTGTCTATCCCAGATGTGTGTGCAAGTACATGCAGGATCTGATCGTTCATGTATTACATATGGCTAAAAATAAATACTTTCTAATTGCTAGAGCAGGTTTTACAGGTCTTTGGTTTCTTGATCTGAGGAACAAAGATCCTTATATCAGGTGTTTAATGTTCTGCAGCTTCACAAGTGCTATTTCTCAGGGTGAGAGAGAAACCAGCAAAACAACCAGCTCACTAACACTGGTATTCCCTCTTCCTCACAGTTTAATGACATTGGCGTTTTTGAGACAGTCTGGCAAGTCAAATTCTACAACTACCACAAACGGGATCACTGCCAGTGGGGAAACAGCTTTGGCAGTATTGAGTACGAGTGCAAACCAAATGAAACACGCAGCCTCATGTGGATCAATAAAGAGACCTTCCACTGAAGAGATGGGAAACCAATACTGCTGGACAATCTCCCTAAAGAAAAATCTACCTTTTTAAACCAGCAAGAAGCCTTAACAAAGGCATACTGTAACACTGCTTTGTCCATAAGGTTCCAGCAACTACATTGTATATACAGGTGGTGCCACTAAAATATTTGCCTATTACTGTATTTTAAGTTTACCATGGCATCTGCAACATTCTTTATCTGTCACCCTGAGAATACTGAAAGGTTCATGGTAAAGGATTGTCTGATAGCTTGGTAGGAAGTCATATCATAATACTGTTGTAAGTATTTGGATTATTCTGACTAGATGTAACAACTTTTGTGAAGTGTTTTGTTTCATTGCTTAGAATCTGGGTTAACATCACATTGGTGATTTCTGTATTTACATTTGTGTTTGCTCCAAAATCGGTGTGTTCCTTCAAGCATTTTGTCGTACTGTCCTCCCAGTGGACACCAAAAATTAAAAATGTGGTAACTTGTAGATTTAGTTAAATGGCAGCTAATGCACTGTTGGTATTGTGCTTTCATACCAAGGGATTTGGGAACTCATTCTCCCTTTTGTTAAGTGCTGTAAGATATTCTGTGAAGTTTGCTAATTTACCAAATCTAAAGAGGATTTCTTTTTTGTTAAGTTGCCTAGTCTTTGAAATAGCATTAGGAAATGGTATAAAACATTATGAAGGAAGTGCAATAAATCAGTTGTGTTATCCAAGACATCTAACAACGTGGCTAAGACCTATCTTAAGATCATATAGTATCCTTGAGAGATACAGCAGCCATACTTAATTTATTTCCTAGAGTAAGAGTTCTGACATTAAACTCCATTATTATTTCAGTGGCACATTGCTGAAATCAGTTAAATCTTACAAATCAACATTTTCAAGCCTGACCACTGTATTCATTGACAAGATTTCTGACCAACAAGCACTCAGTAGTGTGAAGGGTGCAGATCCCAGTGCATGTTTATACATGCACTGCAGTCTTTCAAATAAAGAGAAGCATGCAAGCATTTGCATAGTTATAACAAAAGGTGCTTCATAAACACTAGATCAGTGTTTAACACAAACATACAACACAAAACAGACATATCTTTTATTTCAGTAAAGACAGGGAAGCAAGGAAACAACTACATTTGTCCTGTCCCCAGCTCGGGTTGAAGTAAGCTGTCAGTTCCTGCATATCTGTTATTCCCTTTGTGAATAATTTGTAAATTGTATATGTAAATGGTAAACATGACTTTTGATCTTTGTAATAAAGGACCTAAACAATTTCTTCTCTACTGTGGCCATCTAATGAGCTGAAAACAGTGTCTAATAAAAGGCAGGGGTTTTAGAGAATCAGACAGTAGAGGGTATGTAGCCAGTGCTTTCTGAGAATGCAGTCCAAATAATTCTGTTCTTCACCCAAAGCTCCTGTTTCTAGGAAACACAGACCCAGTGTGCTAAAATGCAGGTGGTTAATGTGATAACATTCAGAAGAGCCTATTAATATGCAGTAAGTTCCAGTAATATAGTGTTAAAAGTAAAGATTTAGGACAGAATTGAATGAGCAAATAAATATTTTCTTCCACTGAATTATTAATCAAAAGGCTTTACTAGTTTTCTAGCTGTACTAGATTTCTGCAGCCAGAAGAACTGACAGTGGCACTGATGTAACACAGCTGTGGAATGGTGAGCTAGCCAGCTGCATCTCCACTCTAAGGCAACATGATATAGGCAAATTTTACTAAATTAAAATCTAGAAATAATCTTCTCCATTAACTTCTTTCCTAGACTTTTCCTAGCAAGAATTCTTCAAAATGAAAAAACTGACCAAACTGAAATCTGCATTTCAGGCAGAAGTAGTACTGCCAGCATTTTAGCTGAAGTTTCCAGATAACATGCTTTAATGAGTCTAGACTTCCAGCTGTGAACCAGTTCTGTCTCTACATTGCTAGAAAAGTGATTTTATTCTTCAATAATCTGCGTACTTTGGTTTATTTTGTTTCTACATATGAACACATATGTACACTGGCACACTGGCAAGAAATACATGTGGCACATAAATTCACAGGCTTCTGTCCTAATAAAAATCATGTAAGACCCACAGTGTCCTAACTCTCCAGCATTTAAAAAATGCTGCAGTGAATAAATCCAGCTGATCCTGGCACAGGAGGAGGGTTATTCTGAAGTATACCCTTCCTAAGGCAAATTCTCATGCCCACATTAATGCCAAATAGGGCATCTTTTAGCAATTCAGTTGAGAGGATGCTCAAGAGAAAGGCTGCAGATGGAGTGAGTTGCTTTTAAAAGGAAGGAGAGAAGAGCAAGAACAACTGTTGGACATGTCCCATATCCTAAGACTGAACATTTCAGCACCCCTCTCACAGACAGCAGCAGGGATAGAAAGGATGAGAACTGGTTAATCACTTCTCTGGGGAAGGTGTAAATGGCATTTATCAGCTCTTATATCCTTCTCCCCCGTGTGAGATTTAAGCATACAGAAATGTGATTTGCATTATTCTTAAATAGATTATTCATGTGATGTTGGTTGAGTATCCATACCACCAGCTCTGATACTCCACACATGTAAAGGAAAAGAGTCCCATCAACTTCCTCTTGCTCATCAAGTGCTTTGCTAACAAAATAAACATTTGCTGCTAGTAAAGGAGACCCAAGACTTCAGCCAGTAATGTTCTGAATTTCTTTCATCCAGGACAACTCTGTTGAATATTCATAGAATTTGAGTCCCTACAAAACTGTTACTGTGACAGTTTGATGCATTATTCAGTCAGCAGCATTTAAATCTCCAGACAAGTTTGTTCTTTACACAGATTTTTCTAATTAATATGTCCATTTTTATACAGAACTCCATAATTCAGGACACAGTACACCAAGATTTAATATATATGTCAGAAAATGCTGACAATGTGTCAATCCAGCTGAAGCCACAAAGCACTCATAGCTGGAGGTTTTATAAATAAGAGACTTCAATATTTTTGTCATGAAGTGTCCAGCTGTCATTTTCATAAGAAAAATGAAACAAACATTCCAAATCTTTGTGTCACTTTTTCATCTACATTTAGAGGTAGCAGATAGCTCTTTGATACTGCTGAGTAACAGGATTCAAAAGCAGTTCATTAGTCATGACTATTAGAGTTGTGATCCTGCACAGGGCTTTGTATTAGATCATTATATTTTGCACAACGCTTTGTGTTTAGTGCAGCTACTACAGACTTTGGTATCTCCCACCATCTGACTGTATATGAAACAGAAATAATTCACCTCAAGTCTCAATGCTCTAGTTTCACATGGTAAAGAGATTTTACTGGCTTCAGCTGAAGCTCTGTCCATTGTGACCCTTACTGATTCCAGACAAAGAATCAAAAGACCTCATTTATATAATTCTTTGTATAAAAGATGTGACAGAACTTCTGTACAATAAAGATGTAAGTTTTGTAATACAAGGCTTTTGCATGCCAGGAGAAGTTCTTTTTCACTTGGTTAAGAGCACTGCCCTCACTTGCTGTGTAAAATTTTAATGTATGTGCTGTGTGTTCCATTCCTCTAAAGCCTCATGCAAAGCTGTGATTAAATAAGGACGTGGCACGTTGTAAATGCTAACCTCTCTCTGAGATCTGAAACAAATGCTATGACTTTCAAAATTCAAAGCAGTGAGCATTGCCTTAGTAGCTACACCAACCCTGAAGCACAAGCAGCAGTATAATGAGTCTTTCAACATTCATGCTTTCCCTGAGCTCTCCAAAGCTCACAAGCAATGACTTGCAAAGTCCCTTTTAGTGCAGCTGCTCCAGAAGAGACACCCACTCCTGCCCACAGGCCTTCCCTGCAGCTGCCACCAGCATTCCTTGGACTGCTTCCCCCTCTCCTGATACCAGGATTTAAGGCTACAAATCCCTATGAGCATTGGCTTTCAGCATTAGGAAGACAAGGTGGCATCAGGCTAGGAAGAGACAAACCAATTCTCTCTGCATTGCTTCTCTCTGTCTACTGTAAGGTTTTATGTCTACATGTCTATGTCTTATGTCTACAGAAGGTTTTATATTATCCTCCCACTGCAGTCATTGGAGTTTGTTACCTTTTGACCCACAGTGAATTGCACTATGAGACAAACAGATCTCCATTGGAGACATGGCTTAAAAGCAATGACAGACAGCCTCTCCATCAATTTTTATACCAAAAAATAGTCAATTTTAAGAAATAAATCATGGCAGCACATCTGCATTGACCAGGTGTAAGGCTCTGATTTTCTGTTTGTCCTCACTCACGCAAACTTGAGTCTTGATGCTGCAATCCACGTACAAGTGCTTTGCACACCCTCTGTAACACCCCTGTTTCCCTCCCCCAGAGAACAGGCACTCCTGCTTCTTTTATTCCAACAGTGAGGAGCAGCCTGCTGTCCCATCTAGGATCTGCAGCCTCTGAACAACCCAGAGAGAAGAAATTATAACTTTTAGGGCACGATGATGAAGGCAAGAACTGCACAACTATGCTGGTGGTTAACTGGACCTCCTGCTCCTTCTCAGCACAGTAAAGACAAGGTGGGGAGCCTGCTGTTACAGGAGGGGCTGTGACAACACTGTCAGTAACATCCACATCAAACTCCAGAATATGGACTACAGGGACCAAACGCCCTCAGAAGTTTGAACTGAACCTTTATGAGTTTAATGCAAACCCCAGAGGGTTTGTGGCAGTAGTGCAATATCACAACATACTCTCTTTTCTGACTGTGATGGATGGCATTCTCCTGCTCACTAAATTGCTATGCCAACAGGGTCACCTCAGGCACTTCCACATTTCAGACTCACTGGAGAGAACAAGCTGTGGTCAATTCTGTGCATTCTGAGTTGGTGCCTTTTTTAATTTGTTTGGTGTAGGAGGTTGTTTTGTTTTTTTAATTAACTGTATAATTTTCACTTCTGGCTTCTGAGACATCTCTGGGTAAATACTGTGTTACAGGTAAGCTGAGCAAATGTAGGAAACAGCAGGGTATGAAAATACAACTTCAATCATCCCTGTTCTGTATGGAAACTATATGATTACCCTTCAAAGACTTAGAAAGCATTAAAACAAACAAACAAAAAGGTATCAAGCATCTACTCTGTTCAAGTCTGGCAGCATTATGTGTATCAGGACAAAGTACTAGCCAGATATAAATGTGCTGGTCACACAGTAAATTAAATTTATAAAGTTTACACTGAACTTTGCTAACCTTAAGGGAGGTAGAAGGTAGATAGTTAAGAAAACAAAAGTTCCAAATGCACTGCTGGTAAAAAGTTCCACCAAAACATGTGGAGTAAACATGAGAGACAAATTTGCCCTAATATGCTAAAATGTGAATGAACTTCCCTTGCTTAAAACAGAACTGTAAGAATTTAGACCTAACCATTTTAATACAGATTAAGTACAACTTAAAGAAGTTGAGGAAACACTTCCAGGGAGGTTGTTTGTTACAAATACAGTGAAAAGATTTCCTCTACTGATCATTTACCCTATCTTAAAAAATACATTTATTTTTCTCCTGGCAGCAAAAACTAACATTTTGCACCTGGAAACAGGTACAGAATCAGTTGTACAATATACTTACAGAGCTGAAAATTGTCTTGAAGGGTTGGGTTTTTTTCTTTTAATAAAAGCAGCTATCAATTTTGACTTCTTTCTGCTTCAGCCCTGCAATTCCAGCTGCAGCCCTCAAACACAAATACATAAGCAAAGAAGGAATGCTGCCATATACTTAGCTCCAGAACTGAGAGATGATCCAAACAGCACAAGAAAGGGAGATTATTTGCCACTTGCAGTCTGCCTATAACCTGTATTCTTGGAGAACAATTCTCCAAACACATTCCACATAGGAAAAACAAGGAGCAGAAATAGAAATGGTTTTCTCTTTCATTTCTCTCTGTGCACCTCTATGAAAAATCCTGAGAGTGAGAGGAATGTGCTTGCAACATGCAGCTCCAGTAAAAGAAAATTAACTGCTGAGGATTCAGAGGTTTAAAGTAATTTCTTCCAGGTCACAGTGGCTTTGCAGAAATCACTGCCATGTGAATACTAAAAACAGTAAAACTTTTATTTTACTTTTGTTCTCTTAGTGTGTCGTGGTGAACCATGGGACTTCCTGTCCATCTCCTGTGGATCCCCTGGTGATATAACATTACAGTTCAACTCATGATGCAGCCCCTCTATCATTAGGGAAACTAATTTCATCCAGTATACTGCATTCAGATTTGTAATTTCATAAACTAAAGCAACTGAGGAGTTGATTTTCATT